AAAGCTCACCGGAAGCACTTTTTCATCAAAAAAAGATGGCGGCGCCCAGCAAGCCAGCGGCCCGGTAGGACCTGTTCCGCGGACCGGTACCGGTCCGCGGACCGGTGATTGGGGACCCCTGTGTTAGGGGACCTTTACTTCTACCTTTATCTTGGGCTGGAAAGAATGCACTTGGAAAGACGAAGCCCCCATGAAATAAAATAATAAACCAAGCTCTTCTGACTAATTCTGAGGTTGCATTTAGAAACCTTAAAACCTACCATGGGGGAAGATTCATTCCTCACTGGGTAATTAATTATTATTAGTATTAATGCTGACTCAGTCTACTAAAAAGACTTTGTGCTGGGCCATCAAGAAAAACAAGGGAAGAAAGTACAGTTCTTCAGGAGATAAACATTCTTTAATTACATCGCTGTATTCTCCAGCTACATTCATGTCTACGTCGAGCAAATGAGATGCAAATGCTGAATATGCAGTTAGGGTAGCACCTGAAGGGCCCACCTGTATTGGATTTTGCTTGACAGGCTTTGGGGACAAGACTGAATAAAATAGCGACACCTCCCTTTAGACAATTGCTAGAAGCAAAAGACATTTACTGGTAGCTTGACCACCTCAGATATGGAGATACCTACTAGTAGGGATGAATTAAAGCAGAGGTCTCCAAACATGGCAACTTTAAAACTTGTGGACTTCAACTCCCAGAATTCTCCAGCCAGCATAGCTGGGAGTTGAAGTCCACAAGCTGCCAAGGTTGGGGATCCCTGAATTAAAGAGTAGCAGTAAACAATTTTTTTTAATTGAACAGCTTTTTTGATTTGACAGATGACAATTCCGATCCATCACAACCTACAAGACTTTTTGTAGTCCAACGTCAAGCCATGGCTGGTTCTAGTAAAAGGATAAATCTATGGTTGACTTCAAGACAGGTTGACTGGATGTTTTGGCCTCTACAGGTTAATTTGCTTTCCAGGAGCTTTCTGTTGGAGCTCTCAAAGGAGCTTCTTCAAAATGTTGGAGGCTAGCAAATACTCAACAATTAAGATCTATGCTCAGGTATCCCCAAAACGAAACATTTCCTCTTTCCTTGGTCAGTAGGAGCTGTTGCGGATAGTGCTAGCTTCTTCTTTAGATATCAGTGGTATCTTTGGGAAGACCACCAACCAATCAGAACAGAGCTGGAAGGGACCTTGGAGGTCTTCTAGTCTGACCACTGCTCAAGCAGGAGGCCCTATACAATTTGAGACAAGTGGCTGTCTTAATTTCTTCTTAAAAACCTCTCTTGATGAACCATCACGAGAACAGTGACCGTGGGGAAGAAAGTGCTCGTTTCAAATCCTCCCTCCCACCACCAAAAAATGCAAAGCCCATCATAGGAATTCATGCAGCTAATGTCCTGGCCTCTAAGAAATCCCGCACAAAGTTTGCGAGCGAAGAAATATCGCTGTTCCTCAATTCCACAGTACGATCCTAACAAAACCCACACTTGACACATGTCACGGGCTATATATATACCATTGCAACATTTTGCAGTGCCTTCACGTTGCTCCTTATGCAGCCAAACACCATTGGCAAAAAATACAAGAGTAATGGAAGTATATTTTATGACGATATATGTACAGCATTGCGGTGGGCTGGGCAGGAGAATATTCTACTTGTTTGAGCGTTTGCAGCAAAAGCCAAAGATGGTTTGATCTTGACTAGGAATCTGTCTGCTCGTTGTCGCAGCCCAACACCTCCATCCTCAGGGCAATATGTTTGTTCCACTTGAGTGGGTGTATCCTCAAATATTTGGCAAAGAACGGGACATCCAGAAAGTTCATCACAGGCTGGAAATAATCGTGATTTCCCTGGAAAACCTGAAAAATGAGAGGACGGTAACTGACACTTTTCTCAGACCCTTTTCACTTGATCAGGAAATGAACTACAGATAAGTCCTCAACTTACAACAGTTCATCTTTGCACCAAATGGAAAAATTCCGACGGAAGAGGAAACAATGAAGAAAATAATGGAATGTGCAGAAATGAGTCGATTGACAATGGCAATTAGAGAACAGGAAGAAAAAGATTATTATAAAATTTGGAATTTATTCTATGAATGGCTAGGCAGAAGAGGAAGAAATTGAAATATGTGATAATAGTATAATATACCATGGTTGATTGAAGTAGATTGAGTAAGAAAAGGAATATAATTTAAATTTTTGCAACCGTCCGACATGCAAAGTCAATGGAGATAACCCTAATCAGATTCCCTTAACCACCTGTGTTCCTAATTTAGCTATTTCAGTGCTTCACTGAACAACGGTGGCAAGAAAGGTTGTAAAATGGGGAAATTGTTACTTATAGCAATGGTCTCCCTTAGCAACAGTGTTGTGGCCCATCGGGGGCTGACGGAGGTGGCAGCAGAGTCGGACAGTAGTAAGGAGGTTGGGGAGGAACATGGGCCAATCCTGGAGGCTGAGGAAGGCTCGGATGAGGGCTCTGCATCAGGGGCAGAGGTGGGGCCAGGGCAGGCTGGCAGTCATCAGCTGCCTTCAGACTCGGACAGCAGTGAGATGGGGGAATTTCTGGAACTGGTTCCCAGCCTGCGCATGCTCAGGACTACCAGAAGACAAGAACAATTGACAAAGCAGGATCGACTCAGGAGTAAGATGATTGGCCCCTCCCATAGGACATAAAAGAGGAGCGAACGGGATGTGAGCTTTTGCAGGAAGCAATAAGTTCATCTGGTCGATTCAAGCTTTGAAAAGTTCCATTTGACTCTGTGTCCAGTTTGGACTTGCCCTCTGTCTGGCAATTCGTTCTCTGGCAGCATTCCAAGTGCAATAAGGTGGGTGCTTATAAACATTCCCCCGAAAGACCGTTTGTGAAGCCTTGGCAGGCTGTGAATGAACGTAATTCACAGCCGTGGAAATAAAAGAGGTTTTTGCCGGGACTAAGATAGTGTTCTATGCTTCCTAAGGAAGCCTAGGTCAGAACAAACAGAAAGTTTGGGCTCAGTTGTGATCGTAAGTTGAGGACGACCTGTATAACCGGCTCAGGAATTCTGGAGGGTGAAATTGACACACCTGAAAGCTGCCAAGGTTGAGAAACACTGATTAGACCAAGGTTGGACACCCCTGGATTAGACCATAAGGAGAGCAATCCCCAATGAGGGAACATTTAGTCCTATCGAAACAAAAGAAGCAACAGTCCAGCACAGCTCACTTAACACATGGTTCACGCAGCAACATACATTTTGGGCTCAATTGTGGTTATAAGTCGAGGACTCCCTGTAGGCAGAAATGGTACCAACCTGTTTCTCCCCGTGTTGAAGGACGGATGTCCAGTTTTGGCCATCTATGCTGGTGGAAAGACTGAACTCCTTTACAAACATATGGGTGAAGGCAGATTTGGCGCCTTGAGTTATCAATCCTGTCACCCGTACGATCTTCTTAAAGTTCACCTGAAGCCACTCCGCTGTGCTGTCAACCTGGGGGAAAGAGAGCGGAAATTACAGTCGCTCTGTTCTGACCCAGCTCCACAAACACAACAAACTCAAAAGACGCCTTTATTAGGAGCGCTGGCAGCTCCAGCGAAAAGTTTCTCTCGCAGGCTAACAAATCTGTCCGTCAGAGAGATAAATAGTTGTCTGCCACACTTATTCATCTCCGCCTCCTGCCTTTTATCCCCAGAGCTAGGGTGGGGCTTCGCTAGCAGTGGTGGCTCTTCTGTCCCAAGGACCGTCCCATAGATTTCCACTGCTCTCCTCTCCTCTGCCTTCTGTGCATCCCACATCAGGCTCTGGACCCAGCTGTTCCTCCTCTTCCTCATCAGCCACCTCCAGACCTGGGGGCTGTTGACTCTCCATCTGAGGGCTGATAGATAGCCTAGGCTTCACCTCTCTCTCTCTCTCTCTCTCTCTCTCTCTCTCTCTCTCTCTCTGTCAGCTCCATTTCCTCTTCCCCCTCAGAGCTCTCAGGTTGCCTTGATGCAGACCCTGACTCCCACGCCTCCTCCTCCTCCTCCTCTGATTCGGCAGTGGCCCACAGGCCACAACACGCTCCATCCTTGGAAAACTAAATTTCAGCCTTTCTACTTTCTTTTCCCAATCACGGATTATGTTAAAAGAATACAGGTTAAAAGAATCAACTTACAAAAAAGGTCACTTCGTGACTTTCAAATTTAGAACAGCACTGAAAAAAGTGACTCACACTTAACAACGGTTGCAGCATCCCCCGTGTCACCTGATCAAAATTAAGATGCTCAGCAACGGCTTCATGTTTATGACCATTGCTGTGTCCCGGGGTCATGGGATCAACTTTGGGGACCTTCTGACAGGCAAAGTCAATGGGGGAAAAGCCAGATTAAACGACGTTACTAACTTAACAACTGCAACAATTCACTTAATGCTTGTGGCAAGAAAGGTCGTAAAATGGGACAAAGCTCACTTAACAAATGTCTTGATTAGCAAAAGAAATTTGGGGTGCAATTGTGCTTGAAAGTCAAGGACTACCTGTACGATATAAAAAAAGCAATGGACATCTGGACGCAGCAAATACCACAAAATGGTTGCCCCATCTGATGAAAAAGGCCCAACTAGACATTTATCCAAGACCTGGGACAAAACAGACATCTTTTAAAGACTCATTTAAAGGTAGTGGCTCAGTGGCTAAGTGGTTCAGTGGCTAAGATGCTGAGCTTGTCGATCAGAAAGGTCGGCAGTTCGGCGGTTCGAATCCCTAGCGTCGTGTAACGGAGTGAGTTCCCGTTACTTGTCCCAACTTCTGCCAACCTAGCAGTTCGAAACACGTAAAAAGTGCAAATAGCAAAATAAGGACCCCTTTGGTGGGAAGGTAACAGCATTCCGTGCGCCTTGGGCGTTTAGTCCTGCCGGCCACAGGACCACGGACACATCTTCGGACTTTGTAATGGAGATGAGCACCGCCCCCTAGAGCTGGAAACGACTAGCACGTGTGCGCGAGGGGAGCCTTTAGCTTTACTAAAAATAGGTTAGAGGGGAAGTTGGGCAAAGCCATCACTGCAGCTGAAATGAAAGGAGCCAAAATAACAGAAGACACGGTGCATACAATGAGAAACTAGAGGTTTTCGGGAAGGAAGGCTTATAGAGAAGGGAATTGAATTCTGGGAGTTGAAGTCCCCCCCATTTTAAAGCTGCCATGCTTGAAAAACACTGCTGTAGACCTTCAATTTACCTCTGGTCTCCATGCATTTATTCTTCCTTTCAAATTGAGCCGGGCCAAAAAGGGAGACCAAGTAGCAAACACATTGTCAACCCAAGACGAGGCAGTAATCTGTTCATTAAGAATGGATTTGCTCTCCATTCCTAGCGGCATGGAACAGCCTAAAGGGAAAGAAAATAGACAATCCTAGTAAGCCACATTTAGAACATAGAATCGTAGCCCTGGAAGAGGCCTTGGAGTTCTTCCAGCCCAAAACCTTCTCAAGGCAGGAGACCTTATACTATTTGTGGTCAAATGGTTGTCCACTCTTGTCCATTTAGCTTCAGTAGCCTCTTTTCTCTACCTCTATCCCTTGTGCCAGATCTTCATTCCCCGAATGGCATTCAATTGTATACGTTGCATCCAACTGCTTTTGATCAAAGCATCCTTGTTGCCTTCATCGTGGGGACCTGGTTAGCAGTGAATTTTTTCCCAGATTTTTAAAATCATACTATTTTTTTTACCCATTACAAAGTTAGTCATTTATCTTCTTATTAACCATGCAATCTTATATTTGTTTGCTCAGCAGTTAACACACATGGACCTTTCTCCCAAGTACAGTTGTACACTACTAGAGTCGGTGAGACGGAGTGATTAAGACATTGAACTGGGACTTCGCTTGGAGTCCAACCTTAGCCACAGAAGCTCCCTGGAGACTTAGGGCCTGTCTTCCTCTCTTAGTCCAAAGCACCTCAAAGGGTTATTGCTTTGGTGAAAAATGGGGAAAGAAAGTACTAAGCAGGTTTTTTGCTCCTATAGGAAAGGTAGCAAAGCTGTCTTTTGCAAATCTGATGAATACAAGAATAACAAATAACAGAACTGCGGATTATATTGGTTAGGGAGAAACGTCTCTTTGTGGCATTTTAAGCAACTTCAGTAGCTGTATGTCTCTGTCCGGGTGAGAAAAGTGCTTGATGTGGAGGGTCTTCAAACTTGGCCAGTTTAAGAGTTGTGGACTTCAACTCCCAGAATTCCTGGAGCTAACATGATTGGAGGAGGAATTCTGGGAGTTGAAGTCCACAAGTCTTAAA